TTTTAAAAATGTTTGTCATAGTCTGTATTCTTCCCAAGGTATAAAGTATCTTTATTGGGTTTTTTCCCACAAATATTACGGAGTTTCTGTCATTGTACACATAATTTTGAGTATTTTAAATTTTTTTGGCAGTCTTGTATTAGTTAAACTATCTTTATTTTTAGAAACACTTTTTCTGTAATGTACAGTGTTATTATATTCATTGACACATCTGTTCTTCATACACAAGGGTAGATACTATTTTCCTTTTTTTAGAAGTCTTTTATGAATTGGAAGATCAGTCCTTTCTTCTTTGCACTTCGGTTTTGGCTCTTACGTCTGCAATTTGAACTGGTCTTTTGCAGAGCACTCAGGATGCCAGGATATCTGTAAAATCAGTTATTGTGAATGTTCATTGAAGCAGTCAATGACTGACTTCTAACTTTTTTTCCCTGAAGATGACTAACTCATTTGCATCCTTGGGGCAGATTTACAATTTGAAGTGCAGAATATTTGACTTCTTGGTTGCCTTTACTCAACCAGAGTTATCCGTAGTCATCACCGTGGTAAAGAAACTGACTGACACAAGCTTATCCCTGTTCCGTACTTTTGACTGCCCTACCTGTGTTAGCAAAGCAGCACTGAATGTAACCTACAGCTTGAAAATTGACAGCTGAAACATAAATATTTTATTGATCCATAAGTATGCAACACAGAACGTTGTTAAAACTGACTTGAAGTATGCTTTTATCAGTAAATACTGTCTACTTTGCTAATACCACCACTAGATTGAACTGCCAGTACAGTTAGTACCCATGTACTTTTGTCTAACCTTAATTTTCAGTTAAAGTTCAGCTCAAGGCTTACCCTTTAACTGATTCCTAGCGAAACAAACTTAGATCTAAAGCTGAAACTAGCAGAATTCAAACACTACCACCATATATATATATTTTCATTGAATTTCATATTCTTCTCCTTTTGTTCATTCTTTATCCTAAAGAACAATTATTAGTATATTCAACTAATAATAACCTACAAGGAGATTAACCTCACAGATTTTTGTTTTATATTGTGCATGAAGTAGGACTGCAGAAGGCCATTCAGGAAAGATGGTGGTAATTTTTATAACAAAACTGTGTTTAAGAATTTTCTTCTAGATACTAATGCTATGTAAACCTCTCTTTATTTTTTAGTGTGTGATTTCTTGGGTGAAAAGATTGCATCTGTTCTGGGAATAAGCACACCAAAATACCAATATGCCATTGATGAGTATTACAGAATGAAGAGAGAGGTATGTGTGTTAGCTAGGGTTCTTGCACTCCTTTTCTCCCAGCTTGTCTTCCCTGGTATTCTAGAAAATAAAATTTGTATTCTAGCATTAAAATGAAGGTTTAGACCCTCAATTTCAGCTTGCCTCCAGTTTTCACTTGATGTGTGATTAACACTTTCTAATCCATCAGCCTTTTCCCTCCAGTCTTACAAACGGTGGGTCCTGAACTCTGCTGTGAGAAAGTGGGATGGACAGTTGCTGAACACTGTAAAGAGGTGGCTGCTAGCAATGCACTTTCAAACTCTAAAACTTGTTCAACGGTGACAAGGGTAAACTGAACATGAGGTTACCATTTGTTCTAAACCATAATGGGACAATACTGATAGGTAGCCGGTGCTTTCGGCAAAAAATCCTAACTCTTAATAATCTTCATTTAGAAGAGATGGAAAACATATTTAAGGCTTTGTCACTTTTCTTTTTTTTTAATTGAGAGCTGAAAAAGCTTTAGAGGAGGTAGACCTATCCCTATTGCTATTAACTAAAACTGCTTATCTGGATATGAGTCTTTTCTCTATGTTTGTTTAACACGGTTTAATCCTTCACTTTTGGTGATTTTTTTTCCCCATTATGGGAATTTGGGAATGTACCTCATCTTATGATCAACTAGTCACTGTTTTCTAGTGGAACAAATGTACTTACCTTGTAATAGCAACTGGTATGCTCTTATGGAAAGACTTCAAGTTAATCTGAGTAGTAAATAGTAGTATATGAATATGGTTATCTCTTTCTAGGCAGAAGAGGAGGAACAGGAAAACAAGATGTCAGAAGAAGCAGAAAGACAGCACCAGGAACAGCAGAACAAGCCACAGGCTGAAGCTCCTGTCCAGACAGACCAGCCTGGAGCAACAGCATGCTCTTCATTTGTGAATGTAAACTTTGAAAACGAGGAAGATTGCCCACCCATTGCAGAAAATAAACAAGATGTAGCTCCTGTCCCTCCTTAAGTGTAAAGCTCTGTATAATGTAGGAAATAAGAACTGTCAGGTGTCACAATCTGCCTATAAACAGGAAAAATAGGATTATGCTTGTTCAGTGAAATACAACTCCTACCATTCTTATTGATCAGGAGAGAGCTAGGCGATGTCTGTTCAGTCTGTCTGCCTAATAAAGGCTGAGGCATTCTGCCAAATTGGCACTTCAGTTAAAATGAAAATTGCACTACAAACATTTGGTCTAAAAATCAACATTTGAATGTGTGAGCTAATTTCTGTGTAAAGCAAGTAGAAATGTTTTTTCTTTGAGTTGCTGTGTCTCTTAACACCTGTGGATTGCAGAGGCAGTGCTGTTTCCTACTTCTAAAACCCTGATTTGCACAGTTTGCAACTTGGCTGTCTATGAATAGATTAATAGGAATTAATATCCTGTAACTCAAAAGTAATTATAATAGAGTCTTATTCCCCCTATTTATTGTCACTGTTGTATGCATGTATTTCTTTTCTGTTGTTAACACAAGAGAAAAATGTTAGATTTAATGTTAATTAGATTAAAGGGTCCACTGACTTTTTTTTAAGTAAAAAACTCCAACTTAACAGGACGCTATAAGCACCCTTAAGAACTTAATAACAAGTATCAGCACTCTTGGAGGGCTAAGAGTGCTCAGCTGCTCCATTCAGTGCTGGATCAAAGTTCAGGACTAACATCAGTAGGATGTTCTCACTCCAAACCCAAGAATTAAAAGAGGCCCACGTGCTTGATGCATGCTCTCAGTGGTCCTGGGAAAGAAACTGAAGTCTTGATAAATTATATTAAGTGCACTGGACACTCTATGTAGTACCAGTCTAGAACTATGAACTTTTTGGACATCAATTACCCAAGCCTGTGTACTTGAGTAACCTAAACAAACTATGTGTTGAATTGCCAGTAAGGGCTGTTCCACTGCAGATGGTTTTCACCCTGTTAGCACAGAAACAGAAATAACTAGAAACAACAAAACCAAACTTATGACTCTTTCCTTTTCTTAAATAACTATAATGTGTTGTGATACTGAATCTGAAACAACAGAAATTTTTGTCTAAATGAAGTGCAGATAGCTCCACAAGTAATATCAATTAAGGCTAATTTACTGCAATGACTGTTGTACCTGTAGCTTGTAAAAGGTGAATTATTTACTTTGCAAGAATCAGATGTCATTGCCCCAGTCATTTTCTGTGGACAGCTGTTGTAAGTAAAGGAGCAGAGAACCTGCACTAGTTACCATGTAGAACATCACTTCTGTCCTTGAGCTTTCTGAAAAAAAAGTTAACAATAGTCCTCAGTGAAAGTTTGGGTGTCGTGACATGTTCCTGGCCTTGCTTCCACCACCAACTAAGGAGCCTGATGTAACACCACAGGCCAGGTAACTTGGCTCCTCATTTCTGGAATTAATTACATTATTTCGGATGACCCTCTGCCTGAAGCAGTGTCCTGTACAGCACAAACCCTTCCTCTTACCTGCCTGTAGCTCTCCAGCACTACAGAAAATCTAAGGAGGATTCAATCATCAGCTCTATTCCATCTGTTTTGATACTCCATTCTTTGCCTTTTCTGAATTTTAAGACAGGGTGCTGACCACAGTGTAAACTCACTCCTTCGCCCTGAACATCTGCAAGGGAGAGCTTGATTCAACACCTGGGGAATACACAGAAAACCAGCTTATCAGGAGTTCTTATAGCATAAAGAAAGAAAACCTCAGATAGCTTGAGTAATACCTTGACAGCTGAAGGATACTTTGATTTTCTTCCAATAAATTAATGCCAGTTGTTTTTATTACCTCCTTTCCCTACTATTTGTTGTGTAACAAATGCTCTCACTGCCTTCTTTGTATAAAATACTGTATTACTCACTGTGCCTTAACTTAATCCTTCCTTTTTTGCAAACTGTATGAAAGTGATTACTTTCATATTGGTTTAATTTTTCTGTAAGTGCATTAATTGGTTATTTTATATTTAATATAATTTTTGAACTGGAAGTTGGCTATGGATTTTCCTTTAAAACTGTGTGGTCTTTGAAACATTTTATCTATGTGCAGGTGCGTGTGCCTGTTTACTGTTTTCATCTTTTCTAAGTCACACATCTTGGTTGAATATTCAGGCACCATAATTTAAAAAAAAAAATCACTTCACCCCCACCATTTCCTTAGATTCTCATGTAGTACTACTCTGTGTTCAGCACTACCTCAAACTAATAAATAATGCAGGATTGCAAACACTTCTGGCCTGGAGCTATTGTAATTCTATCTGAAAGTTGAAATATTTCTGTGGCTTTCTTAAGGATTAACAGAGTTTCACAGAGTTAACTACTGCTGTAGCTCAGGTGTACAATTAAGATACAACTGCATAAACTACTTGCACAGGACGTTGGTGAAAGATTCTGTACTGGTGTTTGGGTTAGTTTTAACTCAATCCAAAGCTAGTGCAGTTTTATTTCTGTTAATACCTCTTAAAATTAGGTAACTATCCAGTTCAATAATTTACTTATCCTTCCTACTACACACTTAAAGCTGGTCATGCATAGAAGAAAAAGGCCTAAATTCTTTATTTCTTAATGAAAACTTGCCCTCACAGCAGAATACTCAACACTGCTGTCATTAGAGGAAGCAATGCAGAAGGGAGTGGGAGGCTTGGGATGGCTGAGTGGATACAGGCCAGTGCTGAAGACATCCTTACTTTCAGAATAAGCTATTTAAATTAGAATAGGGCTTGGTACACATGAAAAAAGTCCAAAAATATTTATTTTAAAAAAAGGTAATGTTTGCCTCTTAAACAACACTTGCATTTTTGGTTTCAAAAATTAGTTCTGTGATTCGTTTATGTACTACATTTTATATCATATGTAGGGGCAAAGGAGGAAGGGAAAATGGAAGAGGGATTGATTCCAATAATGAATGTTTCCAGCTTCCAACAGTTGGCCCATCAGATTAAGATCTCTATGGATACAGGCAGCTCCCATTCAAAGTCACGTATCATCAACATCAGCAGTGTTGTCATTATCGCTTGCCACAAGGACCTCTCTGTTCTCGTACGTCCAGAAGCCGTTCAGATCAATTAGAATGCTGGTAACAGTGTCTCCTTGACTGCTATTGATCAAGTCTTGAAGGGAGATTTTGTACGGGTCCTTAGGCTTCACCATATCAAAGATTTCATCCTATGAAAGACAAGTCAAAATTGGGAGAAAAGCCCCCACACATTAATGAGCAGAATAATGGCCATTTCATGCCATACACAAAACGATCTTCGGGTAACTGTTCAGTTATTTTACAGACCAACTGCTGACTAGAAAGGCGTTTTCAAACCTATGAGTAGGACAAGTCAGCTCATTTCTACTACTCTCCAAGTAAATATACAGCAATCTAGAAATTATGATGTAACAAATTATGAAATGCTTATTCAAAGATTTTACATAGTACTCCATTCAGTAAAGCTAACCTTGACATCCTGAAAAGAAACTGGTTCTTGTCCATGAATTTTCATTTGTTCCTGAATAGCCTAGAAAAAAAAGAGAAGTTAGGAATGGTTAGTGCAGTATAATACTGACACTGTATGAAAGTTATTAAATGCTTCTGCATCTTAAGCTGTATTGCCCTCTAACAAAGCATTCATGGTACAGCCTGCAATCATTTTTCTTCCACAGATGAGGCAGGGGTGAGTTAAGGCATTATGAATGATACACATCTTTAGGTTCACAGTTCTTAATTAGTATGATATGAATGTCACTTTCACACTTATGACCAGTGTTTCAGCAATTTGCATATTATTCCTCAACACTCAAAACTAAAGATATTAATACACTCAAACCATAAGGTTACATTTCTGACACAGTATGAAATACAGGGAAAGAGAAAAGGAAAATGACCAATCAGCAGAAAGACAAATCAATTATTTTAATGTGGTACTATTTAAACACCTGCATCACCAAACCTACATCTGCAAGTAACAGCTATGAACAAAACTGTTTCACTAGCACAAGCTGCACAGCCTCATCAGCACAGCTTCACCAGCACAGCTTCACCAGCACAGCCTCTGTAGGTGCAGACATATTCACACTTAATGCTAGCAGAAAAGCAATCATTCACAGAATCAAGAGGAACTGTTCTGATTTCAAGGAAAACTTAGAACCTTCCATGTCAAAAAGGAGATTTGTTACAATAGAGAAATAAGGAGGATATGAGATCATGCCTTGAGGAGGCCTGAATGCTTTACTGATTCAATGAAGTAAATACCTTGTTTTTCATCCTTAAAGCATACAGGTAAGCACAATGACATTATTTATTTTCTGTTATAATACAAAGATCCATATAACAAAATTTGGAGTGCTTGTCCCTGTGCCTGAATAGATTACTGAAAGAATCCTGTACATGAATAAAGCATCAAGCTTGTAACTCAGCTGAAACCATCCACAGCAAAAAAACTATTTTACTGCATAGCACTTCCCTTCCCAAGATATCTCAGCTATCTATGAGAAAAACAAGATGAAACAACAAAAGACCTGCCCTGTTTCCAAACCAAAATCACCACTAGTCAGAAGAAAAAAAAAAAACAAAACAACAAAAACCCCATCACACACAAACCAAAGTCTGGAGGAAGATTGTAAAATCTTAAAATTAATTTTAACAGCAACTAAAAAAAATTAAGCTTAGTTTAAATCTATTTTGGAAGCGACAGGTACAAATGCAGGCTACGAAAAATGCAAGAAGCTACTTGCAAGCAAAGTACTGAATGAAAAATCCGACAGCTGTACAGGCTATCAATAAATTTCATTATCTTCATTTCTTTTAGTGAATTTTAAGATTACAGTTGAAATTAAAACAATGGGCAATAATCAATTAGAGCCATCATAAAAGATTTTAATAGATAATTATCATGCAATTTTAGGACAACTTTTAATTTAAAAAAAACCCAAACCAATAGAAAATATTTTTCCTACTCAAAATCAAAACAGTTACTTTCAACTACAGATAAACTACTGAAAATACCTTTTGAAATTTTTTCAATTTTTATCTTAAAAAAATTTAAATCTTCTTAGAAGTCGTTACTAGCCTGCCTGTGGCTATTGGTAATTTAAAGTGATTTCCTGCAGATCTGCATGCAGAAGCACACAGGCTATAACACTATCAACACAGAAAATGGCCTACTTGTATAAAGAGACTTACCCTAAAGAAATAATTAAGGGAAAAGACATTCAGGTGTCCTTTGTTCTCTATATCAAGCAGTTTGAAAATATATTGCAGAGCTGCAGGCTCCTTTCTGTTTTCTAATGCAAGCACAAAGTCCAAGTAGGTTTTATAGTCCTAAAAGTAGATACAATCATGTTTATTACAGTCTTCTTTATAAATTGATTTTGCAAGCAGGAACTCTATAATTGGTAGCTATTTCATTGTAGGAGATCAATTTATTTTCTGAAAAGGACAACATGAAATAGAAAATGGCTGCTACCACTAATGTGCACAGAAAAGTTACTTTTTAATGACTGCTGATAATGAGAAATCCTGCCATTTCAGAGGCAAAATAGCATTCCAAGCATAAATCCAAATGACACATGCTGTATACATGCTTTTAAACAACGTTTAATGTATCTTTAAACTGCTGAACATACCCAACTAGTGAAGAAAAAACATATAAAATATTTTCATTATCATAAATTAAATATCTAGTGGCAGTAAGCCTAATGTTACCAAATAGTGAGCTATATGGCCAATTAAGTATATAATCCTTAGACCAGAGTCAGTGGTTTGGCAAATTACTTGCTAGAAACATTAGTTAACGTTCTAAATAAGTATCACACTTTTCTTTTTCATTAGTATGGATTCTTGGTTTCCCAATCAAGATACAGTTATAACAAGGACAGAAATCCTACAGCCCTGTGTATCATTACCCTGTTTACCTATACCACCAGAGAGTTGTGCCGTCATTCAAAGAGAGCTTGACAGCCTGGAAAAATGGGCTAACAGGAGCCTCATCAAGTTCAACAGGGGAATGCAAAATCCTGCATCTGGGGAGGAATAACCCCAAGTACCTGTGGAGCTGGGGGCTGACTAGTCAGAAAGCAACTTTGCAACAGGCCCTTGCAGCAAAGGCCGCTGACAGCACCCTCAGCTGCATTAGGAATGCTTTGGTGGCAAGTTGAGGAAGGGGATCCTTCTCTACTCAGCACTGCTTACACTACATCCAGGTACTGGGTCCTGCTCTGGTACAAGAGAGATGAACCTACTCTTTCAAGTCCAGAACAGGACAACTAAGAGGATCCCCTCATAACCTTAATCATTATGTGATTCGCACAAAAAAAGTGCTCAGGTGGCAAAAGGGCTGTATAGTGAATTTGTAACTTATCACTTTACACTCCAGTCATCTGAATGCAGACAAGAATTGTGCCTGAACAGTAGATAAAGCTTCAAAAAATATATATACAAGGTGTTACTTTAAATTAGACTACTCATTTTTCACAGCTATGAAAAGCTTACAACGAAAAAACATAGCTATCTTCATACAGAAATTGACAGCTCAGCTGATTTGCACTGATCTCAGGTGTGCTACTTGTCTTTGGCTCTCTTTAAAGCATTATGTTTAACTAAAAAGCATTGCTGCATCTATACATTTTTTCAACATGCACTTTTTAATTGAATCTACAAATGGTGTTATCCTAGGCTGCCTGGATTCCTATCACCTCTGCTTTTTCAAACAAGCAATTTATTTTTAGGCCAAACTGCAGTCACCTTGCTCTTAAGAAAATTAGCTTTCTAATATGTTCCATGGTCATTTGTGTGCACAACGATAAAAGTTACTTTACCTCAAGCTACTCTTTTTTTTAAAGATATTGATTATTAAACATTTCTCAACTCAGTAAGTCAAAGACGTTATGCTGTAGACAACGGGAAAATACATAATTACCATTTCACCATCATAAGTTAAGCATTCCTGAAAGACACGATCCAAAAATATGTTGGTCAAAGTCCCTGTTCCATATCGGGACAGTTCTTCTTTGCTGAGCATGCCATTGTGATCTTTATCAAGGTTTAAATACTGACCTAGGAAGGAGATAAAAAAAGCAAACCATAATTTACTGCTACCAGAAAAGAACTGTTTCAACAGAGAAAAACAAACATCGAAATGCTAAATTTTCTAATTTCCATAATAAAATCAACACAGTTAAATGAGAATTTACTAGATCCACAAGAATATTCATAAAACATCAGAAATAAGCACAGAGTATGGAGGGGAGGAAACAGGATTCCCATAATGAAGTGTTAGCAGTTCTAATCTAAGTTAATAGCTGTGCATACTGAGAGAGGAGCAGAAGGCTAAGAGCATATTATTTTATACAAATATGCTGTAAGCATTAAAAAAAAGACGATGCAAAGACACGAATAGAACCAGAAGAGAAGGTTACAGAGGAATCTTTTACCTTGTGCAACAAGGTGACAGATTTTAAAACCACAAAAAAACTCAAGAGAGGAGAAATGAAATTATAAATAAAGTCAGGAAGATAGACTGAAAGGGTGGATTCAGGATTTGAAAAGATGAGTTAGCAGGAGGATTTAACATGACAAAAACAGAGGAAAAATAGCAGTAATAATGTGACTAAGTCATACAAGAGGAGGAAAGTGTTGACATATAAAGGAACCTACCATAAACTCTTAATGCAGAAGGAGCAGAAAACCAGTTTGTTTCCTGACTTTCTTTAGAAAGTTCTTCATCCCTTAACTAAGTGAAACATAAAGTTAGAATTAAGAAAGAGTAAATTAAAATACAACAGTATATGTTAGAGACCTTTACCTCCAGTAAATCATCCAGGAAGCTGCAAGCTAAAATATCCTGTATCTTTATCTTCCCTGCAGCAAGAAAAGGAAAACACATTTTAACAGTTGCTCAGTCAACACATCCATTTGATTATTCTCATTTAGGTGGCTTTACTTATGAAAGAAGCATTTGGAACAGAAAAAGATGCCTTTTTAAGAAACAAAAGCTAAACAATACCCACACCTAACATCAAGGATAAGGCTCTAATTTCAGAGATAAAATAAAATACCTTTAAAAATATTAGACAAAACTAGCCTGAGATTGGCAGGAGCTGTCCTGAAGCCTTAAATGCCAGAAAACTAGATTAAAATAAATGTGAGCGTTCAACATCAACTCAAAAATGCAAAGAAAGCATGCTTAAAACATTTGATGAAATAATAGTCTCCCAAGTGACATGATATTCTTACATCTTCAAAACTACAGCTGTGACACAAAGCTAAGGTAGCAGAATGCACTTCTGCTGGTGCAGCTCTGACTGGTGCACAGACACTGTGCTAACAGCTGTGCAAAATAATGGCCTTGTAACTTCCCACCCACCCTCTGCAAACGCTTGTAATTACCTCTGTCAGAGGCTGCTGCCCACACAATTCTGACCTTTACAAGGGCCACAGCTGGATCTTGAAAACACATCCAGTTTGTGACTTAAATCAAGGGCATAACAAGCATTATCAGACCTAACTGCAGACCTTTTCTAGTGGGTCTACATGGTGCACACAGATTTAATCAGAGGAAAAGCACATCCCTCTGAGCATTTCCACAGCTCTGTGGATGTTCTGACAAGTAGTTGTGTTGTTGGTTGCTGTGTTTTCTATTCACCCTAAACACTTGAAAAATTAGCTACTGCTAATGGCTCATTATGATGAAACAATATCTCATTTGTCAATTTCTATGAGATAACTCTATAGTACCTCAACTGATAGGTATCTCACAGAAATTCATTAGCTGTAACAGCAGATCATTAGACTCACAACGAAGAGTCATGGTCTTCAGTGGAGATTAATCTTCAATGCTGAACAAAAGCCTACCAGGACAACTACACATTGCTTTGAAAACACAAGTAGCTTCAGTGGAAACATTTTAATAGACCTACCTGTTCTGAGAGGATCCAGAAAGAAGAAGAACTTTCTAACTGCTGTGCAGACATAGAAAGAATAAAAAGATTTTTCTAAGCCATCCAGTTGTGGCAAAGTAGGGATGAGTTCCAAAATATAGTTTTCTAAATCCTGCAGAATTAAGAAAGAAAAGAAAACAAGCATAAAACATTACTATTGTTCCACGTTTGCTATATTCTTCCCTGGCTTTCAAGTGCATTTTGTTAAAAATACAGTCCTGTAACAATGCAGAAAAGAGCATGAAAGCAGATAAAAAAGCTTCTGTCTCTGTGCAAGAAATCCCAGAACACACACATGCACATGTGGTTCCAGGGCTGAAACAATCTATTAATAAAGCAGAATTTAACAAAGTACATGATATTTATATGTAAAAATAAATGCATTCAACTGTACCTTTTCCAAACATCAGGAGCATAACTCCTAATTGGATTATCCCTTGCTGAATATTTTTAATAAATCTTATTTCTTTGAGTGGTAACTAGAATATTTTTATTTATTTTATAATATTACCTCCTTTTAGAACAGGAGAATAATTCACCAAAGAATAATTTGTGATTTTTACCATATCCTACTAAATCTAGTAAAGTGCTAATGACATTAAATCTTTGTAGATACAATCCTTTTTTCAGAAAATTATCCCCAAGTTTAAAAGGTTAGCACCTCTCTCACCACCCCATCTCTTGAATACATGAATTGTAATTTATCCAAACAAAATCTGCCCAGCCCAAATCTATGCTATGATATAAGCTTTTACAAGACAAGACTAGAAAAAAATTGGGATTTTTCCGATGCTCTGTCATTTGATTGAAGAGAGACATTAAGTTAATTAAGAATTTACTTACTGATTCTCTGAGGTAGCCTTGTCCTGCCACATCATATAAGCTGAGACCTATTCTTGTCTGATGAAGCCATACTGTGAAACAGAAAACAGAATTACAATGCAAAAAACCTATGGGGCTTTTGAGTTCTTGCCAAAATCTGAAATTATTCTAGAGGCTGCAAGACACAGTTGGATTTTAAGTGCCTCTTCCCATTTTTCTGAGCTTTAAGCAAAGCCATGTCGTGTACTGCTTAGAAACACTGTTTCAGTCTCTAAATTTTTAGGAGTCACTCACAATATACTATAAATAGACACTATTTATAATATAAATATACACCATCACCACAACTGCCTTATAATAACTAGATGTGAAAAATGGCTGAGCAGACACCACATTTTATTTGATGTATCATAGAAATGCTAGGATTAGAAGCAACTTTAAAGATCACCCAGTTCCAACTTCGCCCCCACCACAGGCAGGGATGCCACTCACTAGATCAGATTGCTCAAAGCCCCATCCAATCTGGCACTGAACACTTCCAGGGATGGCACATCCACAACTTCTCTGGACAATCCGTTCCAGTGCCTCACCACCCTCTGAGTAAAATACTTCTTCCTAGCATCTACTCTAAATGTCTCCTCTTTTAATATAAAACTGTTTCCACTTGTCCTATCACTATCTGCCTGGGTAAGTCACTCTCTCTCCATTTTATATGCTCCCTTTAAGTTCTGAAAGTCTTGTCTTCTCCAGGCTGGACAACTCCAACTGTCTCAGCCTGTGGTCATAGGAGAGGATCACATCTATCCTGTGCTGACTCCAGGTGGAGTCTCAAGAGTCTCAGAGCTGAAGGGGAGAATCATCTCCCTCGACCTGCTGGCCATGCTTCCTTTGCTGCAGCCCAGGCTTTCCGGGCTGCAAGCACACACAGCTGGTTATATGGAATCATATGGATTTGTTCTCTCTCACTGACTTAGAAATGTGCACAGTGCATTTTCACTGCATTGCACAGCTACACAAAATCATATACAGATAGATTGCTTGAACCCCTTGTACAGCACCAGCCACTGCAGCTACAGCCAAAGGTCAGGCCCTCACTTCTGAGTTACAAGACGAGAATTAGAATCACACAAGCATCTATCTTTGTAATGAGAAGGCACTTTAATTGGACAAACTAAAGGACAATGTGCTTGAGGCCATTGTTAAAGCACTGTAACAGTAATGGAGTATAGATTAGATTAATAAAAACTATTATTCGCATACTCAACAAAAATTTAACTCCCATTTTCTGAAGAAACAGTTCAAAAGTTCCTCTTATGCAATATGAGCAGTCCTTCATAACATTCACTCTTCAAGGTAAGTGTTTCTCGTTATACAGTGACGCAGTTTTTTTTGTTGGCTTAAGTTTAAACGTAAATGACACATGAAGTGATCTGGTGGTGGCGGCTTTTTTTTAATTATTATTTTGTTCGTTTTCATAGTAAAAAGGCATCATCCTAAATACACAAGACTCAAAGCTTCTGGGTGAAACAAAGCTCTGAAAGAACCTCTCGTGTCCATCTGGGTGGGCCTTTTTGAAATGCATACAATCCTAACAGACTTTGCCACCAGTCTCTTATCTTGCACCTTTTGGGTTTGTTGTTGGAAATGGGTTTATTACTCGTTTCTTGCATACTGTGCACACCTGCATATCATGCTTCCTGCTACATACATTTCTCATCCCTTGCACCACAAGATTTTAAGTTAAGCAGGCTGAGCTGCTCAGAGAAAGGTGCTGTTTTCCTCTCCCGAAGGCTTTAGCAGATCTAAGAACACAGTAGCCAGGGCAAAAGATAATGAGACAATCTTCCTTTCTGCTAGCCAGCCTACTGTTTTTAAACAGCATCTAATACATACTTTTTTAAAAAAGGCTATTTTTCAGTGGCTACTTATAAGAAAAAATAGCTGAAAATATGGTAAGTGACAAACACAGAAACGTTCTGACATCTTTGACAAACAGTTGGAAAACACAGACTGCACCACTCTGTAGAAGGACAGACAGCAAACAAAATTATCTGCCCAATCACAGTGGTCAAGATCACACCTGCCATGGAACTGTACCATTTTGCACTTCACAGTATTGCCTGAACAAAGGAAATCAGAATAACAATATATATAACAAACAGATAAAGCATATCTATGGCCAGGGAGAGGGGGATTTCAGAGGTATGATGGATTCCCACCTTCTAGTAACAAGAAAAAGATCCCAAGCCTCAAGAAAAAACAGCATTTGCAGTTATCAATCTCAGCAAATCTCACTGTTGTTGAAGGGAACATCAAGTAACAAATAAAGCTCAAAATAGCCTTAAAATGAAACAACTTCTAACGCAGAAGAAGCATCCACTAACCTTTTCGCATGACATAATTGAAAAACTGCATGATAGATATTCTCCCATAAGGATCATTATGGAGTAATTTAGCAAAGATCTTCGCTGTAAAAAATTGCCTGTAAAACATAAACACAAAGCTACTTCTATGCATCTGATTACACTGCATTGACAGATCCAATTACAGTATTTGAAATTTACAGATCCTGTAAAATAATGTTTTAACACAGAATCTGTTAACATGCTACGTTACACTCATCAGGTAGAATCCTAACAAGTAACAACAGTAAACTCAATAAAAAGCAGCTACCTTTCTGCTCATGAGACTCTTCAGTGATGTAGAACTTCTAAAAACTTTTATTCAATTTCTCTTTAATACAAGATGTTTGGTAGCTTCCAATCTTCTACAACAATATGCACATGAAAGAAATTGCCAGCACTGACAGATAATTTGCTTCTGCCCAAAGCTCAAACACAAAGCTATGTGCACAACAGCCATCTCCAACAGGAGCGTAAAGAAGGACCATTCACTGCATGCTCTGCACATCTGGTAGGAAATTCTGCATCAGAAGGTATCAGGGAAGGTTGGGCAATATCACTGGAGACGTAATTTCCAGTTCATTTACGTAACATGCTGCTTGCTAACCACTACATCTAAAAATGTCCATGCTGATAAAAATTTCTTCTTCAAAACGATGCACTACTATTCTTATAGACACCCCTTATTACACGTCAGAGATGCAGAGTACACCTTTGCAGGGATGTAAAGTTCATCAGAAACTACATGGGTATGATTTTTTTCTCACCATTAAACTGTTCCCATCTATTTTAGCAATTAAAATTTACAGTAGTACTTAAGTTTAGTCAAAATGAGCACATATAAGAGAAGAAAGCCTTACTTGCATTTTGGTCCAGCTTTTTCACCAACTTTTAAGAAGTTCTCATAATTAATCATTGCTTCTTCCCCAATCATTGGTGATGTTTGATGTTTGTCCAGTAGGAACCATAGATTCTTAAAAGGTATTTATATTTGGTTAAGAAGATATCTCTTTAGAGATGTTAATGTGCTTAAGATATAGTGTTTAAGAAATTCAGCAAAAATGTGGGCTTGATGCAAGGTTCTCTCAGTTAATCAGAACACATGGTCAGTTCAGCCAGAAAAGTGAGTTTGCTACTTCCATTTCCTTAAATGCTGCTAAACACATGCACACTCTCCCTCCCTCACTAGCATTTCTAGGGTCACACCCCTTTTGTCTTTGCAGTGCAATAAAATCAACCATCTTAGGAGTCTCTCTCAGTGATACATAAACAGAACTTATTTCATCATCTGGGCCCACAAGGGAAAGCATTGCAACGCACTGGAAAACCAGAAGCCATCAATTTAGTCCTCACGTACATCCTAATAAGGAAGCTTCACACTGGCATTACCAGCCCAAGGCTAGGCAACACTTCAGCTTTACCAAGCACTGTGTGCCCAAATACAAAGCATCTTACCACAAGGTTCTGTGGGCAGACAGGAGATCATCAAACTCTGACAGAAAATAATTTAAATCCATTCAGAAACCATTACAAGACATACAGAAATTATTTTCCTACCTGCAGCTCTTCATTATCCAATAGTTCTCTACTTTTTCTCTGCAGAAAGACAGCTCTAGATTCTTCTCTTAATTTCTGAAGCAAGACTTCATCTTCAGCTGGCAACTGGAAACATTGTGGCATTTTAATTTTCTGCACAGTACCATTCAAAAACTACACATCCAACAAGAACTCTTAGGTAGTCTTGAGTCTCACGGTGTGATGGAAGTTGTTTACTTGACAGGAAACAGTCATTCTACCAAACTTGTTTCTTGCACACTGTCTCAAACCATTTCAATAATGAAGCACTCACTTAAAGCAGGACATCTTAACAGGACAGACAGAAGTACCTCATAGCTGATAATCCATTGAGTAAGCACTTTCCCACGGTCACCAGATATGAGGGCTCACAAAAAAAAGCATTTATTGTTGTGTTTTACTCAAGAGAAGCAGCACATTCTATCTTGTGGTAGGCCTGACTCTCCAAAGTGTGAATGTCTACTAGACTTGTTTTGGCCAACAAATAAGATGAAAGAACACCTAGTATTAAAATTCTGCCAATATTTACGTGCCAAACGGTACAGCACCACTGGAGCTTGGAGAGTTGCAAGTGTATCCATCGACTGAAACATAGGTACTTGAGAACTTAACTGGCAGAAACGCGAGACCCTAAGGAATATGTGACCACGAGCCGTTTGACAGCAGCTGAGCAGTCAAGTTGATGAGCGCCAGCAATACCAAGATGTCAACATGTGCTCCCATCCTAATCTGATTAATCTCACAACTAGGTTGCTGGACCAAGCATTTCTGATGAATGATGAAAGCAACAGATTTATCTCTAGTCTGCAAGACCAATGACACACCATTTTCATGAGGTAGCATCCCATCATGTCTAAACAGGAACCAGAAAGTATGTAGATGTAACACTAGTATGTCAAAATGTAGTTAGAACATTAAGCGCCTCTGAAAGAGAAGTTCCTATCTTTTCCAAGCAGCCTAATTAGCAAAACATTTCACCAACTCTGGTAAGAGTCTTAGCAATTACTTAAAACTGCTGACATTCACAATTGTACAAAACAAAAACGTAGACTAAGCAATTCACATCACTCAGGTTTTAATCTACTTTAGCTTCTGAAGCTGCAGGGTCCGTATGAGTGAGCATAACTTCTTTTATAACACAGAATAAATAGCCTCCTGTTAAAAGTTTATCTGGATACTTCACTTACCCTGTAGTAAAATCGTGGTATGTTTGCATATGATATATTGTCACATTTTTTCCCTCCTTTCCACTCCATGTAATATTTTGTGAACAATTCCATTTCTTCATCCTTTAGCTCTTGTTCACTCTTTTTGGCTGATTGACACAGAAAAGAATATTCACGGTGTACTCCAGAGTTCTAATGTATCGAGAGGCTTGAAAAATAGAGCTAATACTGAGGCTTATCTGGTTGTGCTGTTTAGTAACATAGATATTAAGCGGAAATGAGGGGAGCACAGACCAACCATATGAATTACATAAGAGTATGTCTGGTAAGTAATTTGAGTATATACACAGCATCTCTTTCAATGACTGCGCACACCCGATTCGCTGCAGGGTATGCAGTCGTAGCAGCTCCATGAGGGTGCCTGACAGAGCAGCAGCGCTCCCGGTTCAGCGGCAGCAGCGTTTGTGCGAGCCGCAGCCTCAAATCGCCGTGCCGTGCCGGCTCGGGGCTGCCGCTGCGCCCCGCGCTCACCGGCCAGCGAACCGCTCTCGGCCGCAGGGCAGTGTGCCGGGCCGGGCCGGGCAGCGCAGCCCTCACAGCCCCTCACCGCTCCCGCTCACCGACCCCTGAACCACGGCAGCTTGTTTCACCGCGGGGCGGACTCCGGGACCCGCCCGGCCCTTGCAGGCAGATAGGATACAGCGAACTACGGCAGCATCGGAGAGGCCGATGCTCGCCCGGCCGGCCGTCCCCCGCCCCACCGATGACTGCGGGCACCCCGGGGCGCTTCCCCCGCCCGCTCCCGATCCTGGGGCACTCACGCGCGCGGCGCGCGGCCAGGCGGGCCCGCAGCCGCCGCTCCCAGTCCATCGGAACGCGCCCGCCACCGACCGCCTCCCCGCGCATGCGCGCTGCCCTGCGCGACGCGCCCCTCCCCTTCGGAGCTTCGTACCCTCACCCGACATGGCGGAGCAGCCCCGCCCCTCCTAACGGCGCGTGCGGATCACGTGTGGCCCCGCCCGGTGGGACTCGATTGGTTCCACGTGCGGGCGCGGGCCCGCCACGAGCTTCCGGGCCAATGGGAAGCTGGCCTGCTCTGGCGCGGGGCACGCGCCTGCCGCGCATGGCCGCCGCGCGCAGCGTCAGGTGGGCACCTCACGGGGGGATGAGGGAGAGAGGGCACAAGGGAGAGAGGGGCGACCGGGAGCGACTTTCCCGAAAGCTGGGGGTTCTGCGGCATGACCGGACCGGGTCCGCGGGGCACTGGCTGAGGGACGTGGGACTCTGCGAGGTCTCCCCGTGAGGCGGACCAGCCTGCGGACCTCCCCGTATTTAGCTGTATAATGTAAGATGTACCTGGGATTTTAGTGTAATTACCGCCCGCAGTGTTCCTCTGCCTCTTTGGCAGCGGCGTTACGAAGGATTTGGGATTGGGAAAACAAGTTAAACGGAAGTTTGTCACCAGGTGAAAAATGTGAGGGAGGCAGTGTAGGAACCCCGACCTGGGCTTGTCTGAAAGATCAGGATAGGGATTTCTCACCTGAAATCGTCGAGCTCCCTTGCGTTTCGTATTTGCTAGCATGCAAATGTAAATATCACAGGAAACCACGGAGCAGGTCATGATGTGATGTTGTTTTTATTTTTAGGAAATCTCCCGACTTAACTTGGACAAAGGCAGGAAGAAAAACCCTGTGATTTTTGTGTAGCTGCGTCAGCGTTGCCCTTCTGCTTACAACATATACAGTACACATCGTTGCTGTAACCAACAAACGGGAATCATAATATGCAAAACATCTTCTCTAGAAAGAAAGATACCCTCGTTCTGGATTATTGTTCTCACAGTCTAAGAGATTGATTTTTGTGAAAAAATATTTTAATTTTTGTGTCCATAGGAAACAAAAAGGACTCATAGAACAATAATTTGGAAACAGAAGCTTATACAGCTTGACAGCCCTTGGGCTTTTATTAATGAACATCCCCATGCAATCTGTATTTTTAATTTTATAACTGTATCAGATACAGTGAGCTAGTAGATAATTTTGTCTTGTGATGGCACTCTTTTCTCAAACTAGTCATCAGGGTTTTCAGGCTTTGCTATGGAAATGTCACATGTTCTGGCCTGTTTCGAGATGCCAACAACTGTTTGCTGCCTCTTTCAGCATCCCTACTAGGGAAAAAAATAACTATTTCAGTTTTATGACATCTTCCAGCACTGCATTACCTGTGGACCCCAAAGAAACTGATGTCTTGTCTACCAAGAAAAGGTCTGAAATTGATTGCAGAGAAGGAAAAGGATGGGATGAGGAGACTAAAGAAATACCTGAAGGGAAATTCCACTTTTCTTCCTCTGTTGGAGCTGCAAAGAAATGGTCAATGAGTCGTGTTCAGTCAAGGCATAGGTTTAGCAATGTACAGCCTCCAGAAAAACCTTTGCAGACTGAGGAATGGAACAAACTAAGGGAAGATTTCCAATTACCTGAAATATTTGAAGAGGTGATGCTGAACAGTATGATCAGGTGCAACAGCCCCATTGATGTGGCCAAGTCCTTGCTGACCCACGTGGCAAAGCGTAATGGTGATGTTGCATACAATGTGTTGGTCAAATACCTGACACTGTGTGTCCAGCAGGGACAGGTTTCAGAAATCTGTGATGTGTATGACATAATGAAAGTCAGGTTTAAGATTTTAGAAGGTGGGGCTTACAACCTTCTAATCAAGGGGTTGAGCAATTCAGATCAATGGAGAATGGCCTTGACTCTTCTGGAAGAAATAAAAAAGATTATGATTCCCTCACGGACGTGCTATGAATCTTGTATCAAAGCAGCCAGCCGTCACCAAGAAATGAAACTCGCCTTTGAACTGTACAATGAAATGATGGCTAAAGGTGTGGTCCCAACCTTGGATGTCCTGCAGTCGTTTTTTCACTTCAGCAGGGGTGTGAATGGTGCTGAGTTACAAAAAGAGCTCTTTGGTATCCTCTTATATTTGAGAGAGAACCAAATATACCCTCACAAAACATTTATGCGGAGTATAAAGCTATGGTTTGAAAGGTAAATAAAGTTTCAATAGCAAGATGCAGTTCATTAGGAGGACGGATTCAGATTATACCACAGATCAACTCTGAGACCCCTCAACATCTCATTTTGATTTTTGCTTCTCCACAGGAGATGTGTTGTCATGAAAAGATGCATTTTATTTTTGCTCACAAATTACTGTGAAAGTTTAAAATTGTTACTGATTTCACCTTTTCTTTTACCTGTTAAATATTACTCCTTGGTACAAAAATTAGGAAATCGTGTTGGGTCATGGCAATTCAAAATAGCCTATTTCATCTCTTTCTGGGGTGCTAGATAAGGAATACTGACAGGTGTCAGTCATGAGGGCTTCTCCTGTAATTTATTGGATAAGTATTAAGCTAGTTGAAAGTTAGATACTTCCTTTCTTTAAAGGAAAGAGGCAGCAAATTCTGCTAGGTAAAGTGAAGATTAAATGTATTGACTTTGTTCATCTCCTAGTATTCTATACAATCTTAATAGGAGGCTCTATGGTTTAGCGCAGTATTTAGCTGATCACACGGTTTGTTGTCCTGAGTAGTGATTGTCAGAACTAGTTACAATGCACATGCACAATGGGGTTCACCTGAACCCATTCCATATTTGTCATGAGGTTGGATGTGAGCCCATCTGTGATTTTTTTAACTGTTGGCTTTATTTATGTGAGCTACAGAGCCATTTTACAGATTAGTCTTCCTGGATGAAAAATGTGGCAGTGGGAATGCACTACCATTATTGGAATGGCTTATGAATGTGCAGGGTAGTAACTTAAAAGTTGTCAGTGCACACTCATTGTTGTGTGGTTCTTAAAATTTGGGGACAGCATAAACTGCTGAGGTTGATGGTGTTAGTTCTTTGCATGTTGTTAAATGCTGGTTCTTTATATAATATTTCCAGGTGTTACTAAATTAACATGGATTTTTATATAATTCCTTTGCAGGGTAGATGATTGGTTTTTTATTTCTAAATGTTGACCAAAATATAATTATTCTGACATATAGTTCAGATATTGTTAAATAAGAACCTAATGTTTTTATTTATCTTTCCCTCTGTACATATTAGTATACCAGGAGGGAACTGGAGAGGACGCCTGACTAAAATTAAAGACAGGTAAATGCAACATTTTATTTATAAGTGAGGTGTTGTCTTGATTAGTCTATATTGAACTCTTCCTTTTGAAATATAAAAAAATTGCTTTCCTTATCTACAAAAGTATTTCAGTTGTTGTGACACATGATTTCACAAACTCCAGTTTCCAACTCATTCTTGTACATTAAACAAGGCCCAACATTTGGAAAAGAGTTATGCCAATTAATGCAAAACCAGCACACCAAACCGAGACAGAAAAACAGAGTAAAAAGTAAGAGATGCCATTTTAGTGTGTGGCTTATTTGTCTCCTGTTTAGGATTTAAAGACTTTCTCTTTTGTTGGCTTTATAATATTGTTGTTTAACATGATCCATAGCAGAGCAGCTTTGGGGTGTAAAGTGTTATTTTCTTGAAAACTGATTCTGTTTGCACACTGCAGTTAATTTGTACGGATGAAAGGTTTCTCCCTAACGAGTTCTTAAGTTTTCACAGTTCTTAGATTTATATTTGGGTGTGTGTTTCTATTACAGTACAGTTTTCTTAACGTCTGTAAACTGCTGCTTTAAATGTTATTCTATTTGAAACTTTGTTTTATGCTTTTTGTAACAATTTGGCGATTATAAATTTATTAATTATGAGAATATCTCCAGTGGATTATGGGGGTTTTAGGTGGTTTATAAAAATTCTCTGTGTTTCATACTGTGAAGTAAAAGGACATGTAGAGCCCACAGTTTTTGGAGCCCTTGAAAGAATAGCATGGCTCACTCTTTTAAGAGTTGTTTACTATAAAATATATTATTATTATGTAAGGATGTGTGTGGTACTGTACTCTGTTATAATAATTCATCATATTTCAGACAACCTTTTCCAGCCTTTAAGAGTTTTAAAATTCTAAAGTCAATTGTCTGGACAGAGAGCTAAGTCTAGGTTTTCTCTCTTACTGTCTGTAAACAGTGAAAGACTTTGAGAGCTAAACTAACTTCAATCACCTCACATTTTATCATGGAAGAATCTGTGAACAAAATGGTGATAAGTGGTTCCATAGTAGTTATTTTGTTGGAAGAACACTTTATTATGAACTAAACAAATTTGAAGTAGCCTACTTGGATAAGTATTTGCATAAAATTAAATTAGTTTCAAAAAAATAAAAAGAATTTAAGAGCTAGT